TATAAAAATAAAAAGATAAATTTTTTGATAAACGTAAATGAATAAAATAAAACATAAATTAAATCAAATCGATACAATGTATCTAAAATAGATAAAGTGATTTTATTTTAGTTAATCCAATAAAATGGAGATGAAAGTCAGGGGAAGAATATTTGATATTGGATGGGTTGAAGTGAAAGGTTGTAGTTGGAGATTTTGACCCCAAACAGAGGAACTCATTATTGTCCACCTTTGCTTAATTAAATGATGGACCATTTTGCAGAAACATTCTCATTGGTGCCACCACATTAAACTGCTGCTAAACAATATGAATTTTCCGGTTCCCATACACCCTCCATCTTAATATCCAGGTAAAAGGCAACTTTCTAGACAGTTCGTTGGCCTGTTGTAGTAGTCCATTCCATATATGTTCCTCATCAATACCTTCCCACAATTTTAGGTCATATGCATAAGATTAGTTTTAAAAACCCTTCCACTATTTCACTAAAATTGTTTATACTCAATATGTCATTGAAAGGATTTAAATATATTTCCATTTTCATTATGATTCCTATTTCACTTTATGACTTGAGTCATTCTTAATATATAACACTTGTAATTTTAATAATTTTTTTGGATCAACAAATAAAAATGAATTTTATTACTGAGTGCTTCTAATTTTAATATAATTTTTAATAAAATTATAAAATTAATTGATGAATTAATCGTTTTATTTTTAAAAATTATACATGTTAAATTTTAAGTTTAGAAATTAGTGTATATCAGTTTAGATTTTTAAAAAAATTAGACTCTTAATTTATATTTAGAAATTAAAATTTTAGTTTAAAATTTTAAAAATAATCAATTTTTAAATTTAAATATTAATATTTAATAAAATAAATTTTTAAATTTTAAATTAAATTGTAATTAAATAAAATAAAGTAATTTAAAATTAAAATTTTAAATTTTAAATTTTTTTAAAAATCAAAATTGATATGTATTTTTTAAAAAAAATTTATTAATAAAAAATTATATATATTTTCTACCATATATTTAATAATATAACCAGTAATATTCTACACTTCCATCAAACGATGAAGTACTTTCATGGCTTGAGTTTGTGGGAATTCATGTTTCCAATGGTCCTTTTCTTTTTTCTTTGTTTTTTTTTGATAAATTCCAATGGTCCTTTTCGAGAGTGAGTTAAGCATATATATTATATTTGAATTAATTAAGCAAGTTGTGGATGAGGATTATCATGTTTATCATCACTCGCAAATATATTGAAGTTGAATAAGGAAAAAGAGAGAGAGAGAGAGAAAAAGCAAGATAAATGACGTGATAGTGATATCAGAACACGCCATCAAACTTCAGAAACAAAGGCTAATATTGCATATGGAGTAAAAAAATAATTGCTTTGGGAAAATCACAGAAAAGCCGCCCAAGGAGTATCTGTTTTTTTTTTTTTTTTGAAACATGGGGCGGGATCAAACCCATTTAAGGTGACTTAGGAGGGTAGGTATTTAATATGGATAATTTCATTAGATTCGAAAGTTTAAATGTGTCCAAAGAGTGTATGTTTTATTTTTTTAATTAAATCAAATTTTAATTAATTATGGTGATATAATGTCTAATGAATTAAGCAGACCGGTGACATATAAATGCAGATTTATATAATACAAATACAATACGAACATATTTTGAGTTTTTTATTTTATAATTTAAATTGTATTAAATTATAAAATTAATTATTTAAATTGTATAATCTCTTTTCCTACCTCTTTTCCTATCTATTTTTCCTATAGTTTGAATTACTTTTCTTACCTATTAAAAAAATAAATAAATTACCTTTTCCCGCTGTGAAATTGCCTGGGATTTCCTTGTTCTGCAAGATATAGCCAGATCCTTTTTATAATTAATGCCCGTTAAATTTCTTTGCTTTCCAAAATTAAGACAAAATGATCTTTTTCAGTTATGGATCAAGCCAAAAAAAAAAAGAAAGAAAAAAAAAAAGGGGCAAAGATATATCATAAGTCATAATCCATCTGCTTCACTTGGAGATATTTTTAGAGCCCTTTTACCAAATAAGTTCAGCCGTCCCAATCTTCTGGTTTGGTAAGGTTGGTTTGCGGGCAAGGAGAGAGCGCCTTTAGTTCTCAACTCAATTCACAAGCAAAAATGTTTTTACTGTCTACCTTGTCCTTATAGTAATAAATTTGGAGTTTTAAATCACAAAAAATATCCTTAATAAATATTTAGAAATGCATGGAAATTTATTAATAATATTCTTCTTTCCATTTTAAATTGATATTTTTAAGTGTTTAGTGAATTAGAAAAACAAAATTATATATGATTCACAAATACAATATGAATATAACTTCAAAGGTTTGATTGATTATATTGATAAATAAATATTATTTTATAAGTTTCGTTTTAAATCTTGAAGTTAGTAACTAATGAATCAAGCTAACGTGGGGTGTCAAGTTCACCCTTAAGCTTATTTGAGGAGGAATTATGATTGCAACGCCTAAAAACTTATCCAAAAACATTTTAATTATCTAAATAAAAAAATAATATGAATATATTAGTCATATTTATAACTTTTATTTATGTCCTTTTTTATATATAGGTACAATATATTAATTAAATGGAGTGCCTCTTAAGCTATTTAATCTACTCTTTTTATTTCCAAATTATAAATTTGCACGCTATTACTAATATAAAAACTTTTGGGGGCACGCCGCATGCATGAATTTGATTGGCGAGGAGCTTGCTTGTTTCTTTAATTTGATGGATGGCAAAGGAGAATTACTTGGATATTTTGAAATTGAAAACAGAACTGTTGGGGCCGGGAAAGGCTCGTACGTACATAAATAAAAGGTTCATTTTTGGACAAGCAGTATTTTGTTTGTCCTCTTTTATTTAATTAACAAGGTTTTTATATTATGTGTTTTAAAGCACGGGATAGATATACAATAAATATTTTTTTTTATAATTTATTATTATTAAAAATGTAAATATTGACTTCATTTTAATTAATTAACTAATTAAACTCATCAACGTATCAATAGTGTTAAAATACATGCTGATTTTTATATTTTTTTAATATAAATTAATTATAAAAAATATATTTATTACACCCTTAACTTATACTTTTTAATGTACAGGTTAGATAAATCAAATTAACAATAGCAATAGTGAATAATGAAGTTTTAACATGTGTCTTTAGGACACATATTAAAATAATATATTTATTGTACATTTTTTATAATTAATTTTTATTAAAAAATTAAAAAGTAACTTCAATTTTATCAATTATTTAATTAAAAGCAGGCAAGTGAAATTAGTGATAAAAATAAAATCAACCATTGTGATTTTCTATAAAGATTAATGTTAAAATGTACAATTAATATGTTTTTATTGTGTACCCTTAAGATATAAATTAGAGAAAATTTTGTCAATAGGAAATAAAAAAAAAAAAGCCAATAACGTTAACTTTAGTGATGATTTACCAACTACCCATTGATCTTAGTAGAAGAAGTTCGATTTCTTTTAATCAAAATTTTGATTTTTGTGAATGAAAAAATATGTATTAAAAGAGCTCCCTCCCATATGAGTCTAATTCAACTCGACTTTGAATTAGTTAAAATTCGATATGACTTCTAGATACGAGAACAAGTACCAAACAAATTTTAGTGATGATTTTTTTTTTTCAATGAGTCAAAATTGTATTATAAAAATGAGGAGTGCTAGAGGCACTCGCCTTCTGCACTGTCCGGCTAACACTTTCACTTTTATTGGGCCACGTTATTCTGGTAGGTAAGAGGTTGCACCCATAGCCAGAAACAAGCTTGCGTGGCCCAATCCAAGGGAAAGTGTTGGCAGGAGAGTGCAAGAGGCGAGTGCCCCTAGCACTGCTCTATAAAAATAAGTACAAGGATACTGACCCACTACATTTGCAAAAACACAGTGCAGAAGAGTATGACTTTTGTGTGATCTCAAACTTTAGTGGTTAATTAAGAATTTGAATTTTTGTGTGATCTCAAATTTGACTATTGAGGTGAATAAAAGAATTTTGAAAGAGCTATTTATTTCATCTTATTGTATAATGTATCACTTAATATATAGAAAAAACAGTCAATAACAACTCTAGTACATGAAAGGAGCTAAAATCATAATTAGTGTTACGTAATATATCTAAGATCCATTGTAAAATAAAATTGTATAAACATATTTTTTGGTTTGGACATTGTAAAATGCATTATTAGTTTAATTTTATATTTGTATTAATAGGATAATAACTTATGTACTATTTAATTCAATACATCTTAATATATTTATTAAAAAATTATTATTTTTAAATTTAAATTCAAGATAAAAAAAATTTATTTGTAAAATTTAATGGCTGAATCTTTAAATGTTAATAAATGTATTGAACCAAAAAATATACAAATTATTATTTATATTAATAAAAAGCTAATCCAAGCTTAAAAACTTAAAAACTTTTTTTGGATGGAACATTGAAAATTAACTACTTAGTGTTAGTATTATTGTAAGAATCTAAACTCTCAATTTTAATCTTAATTCAATTATAATTTTTTTAGTTAGTAAATATAAACTTGATTGAGCTCTTGTAGGTTGAAAAGGAAAAAAAAAAAAAAAAAGTTTATATAGACATAAAGAACTTGGTTTTTAGTCAAAAACTTGTATGTTTATACGTACAAGTGTAATACATATACCCCCCAAGCTAGCCATAGTTGGAAGTCGTCCCTTTCAACAGAGTATGAACTGAAATAAATTTTTGTTGCTTAATTAGAAAACGCCAGATTCATATTTCAGCATGTATTTTTAAAAAATAAAAAATAAAAAAAAAGACTTTTAATTTTAAAGCCTACTTACGAAATTGGGAAAAAAAGAATTCTTTTAAAAAATGTATTTGTACACCATTTTTTTTTTTTTTTTGAAGACTAGATCGACCAACAAACTTGTATATAAGGCCACATAATATCTTTCCCCAACGTAGCAACGTTCCTATAGGGTTGCACAATTCCCACAGAGTCCCCAAGTTCTGTAAAAACAAAAAGCCATGACTTCTCTCCCTCAATCCCTCCAAACCTTACCCATGACCCTCTTCTTCATCATCCCTTTCCTCTTTTTATTAGGCCTCATTTCTCGTCTCCGACGAAGACCCTATCCACCGGGACCTAAGGGCCTTCCCATCATAGGCAACATGTTCCTGATGGACCAGCTAACTCACCGTGGCCTTGCCAAACTTGCTGAAAAGTACGGCGGCCTGTTCCACCTTCGGATGGGGTTCCTCCACATGGTGGCCGTTTCCAACCCGGAGATGGCGCGCCAGGTGCTACAAGTTCAAGATAATATCTTCTCAAACAGGCCAGCTACCATAGCCATCAGCTACCTTACTTATGATAGAGCGGATATGGCTTTTGCACACTACGGTCCCTTTTGGAGACAGATGCGGAAGATATGTGTAATGAAGCTTTTCAGCAGGAAACGGGCCGAGTCATGGAAATCTGTAAGAGACGAAGTTGTTACCATGGTTAAATCCACCGCAGCCAACTCTGGCAAAGCCATAAATGTCGGTGAGTTGATCTTTAACCTCACAAAAAACATCATTTACCGTGCGGCCTTCGGCTCCAACTCCCAGGAAGGCCAAGATGAGTTCATCAAGATCTTGCAGGAATTCTCCAAACTTTTTGGTGCTTTCAATATTGCTGATTTTATTCCTTATCTCGGCTGGGCTGATCCACAAGGCCTCAACAACCGGCTGACCGCCGCTCGCCAGTCACTGGACGGGTTCATTGACACCATCATCGAGGAACATGTTCAGAAGAGGAACAAAATTAATGGTCCTGGTTCTGATGATGGTGACACAGATATGGTGGATGATTTACTAGCCTTTTATAGCGAAGAAGCCAAAGTAAATGAATCAGCCGATCTACAGAACTCAATCAAACTGACCAAAGATAACATTAAAGCTATTATCATGGTATGTTACCTTTCTTCTCATGCACTTTAATTCTACAACTTAACAACTTTCAAATTTGTCTACATTGATTTCGTTTTAGATTCAATAACAATAATAAAAATATAAGCTTCCAATATTAAATTTACCTGCTAATGAAACTATGTTAAAGCGTGCAAGTGAAAGTGACGTACCACGTCATGTTATGAATGTGATAGTTAAGACTTTTAATTTTGAATCAACGCGTATTTAATTTAATAGTTATACTTGCATGTTTGGATAAAAATAAAGTTGCAAAAATATAACAAAATCTTAGAGAGAAAAACAAAATAAATATTTGAAGTCATCATAAAAAAAAAAAAGAAGAAGAAAGATTGCTATTTGCTAATATAAATTTGGTTGTAGGATGTGATGTTTGGGGGAACGGAAACGGTGGCGTCAGCAATAGAGTGGGCCTTGGCGGAGCTGATGAGAAGCCCAGAGGACCTGAAGAAGGTCCAGCAAGAACTGGCCAACGTGGTGGGCCTAGATCGCCTCGTGGAGGAGTCCGATTTCGAAAAACTGACGTTCTTCAAGTGTACAATCAAGGAAACCCTCAGGCTCCACCCGCCAATCCCGCTGCTCCTCCACGAGACGGCGGAGGACGCCGAGGTGGGAGGCTACTACATTCCAGCCAGGTCGCGCGTGATGATCAACGCATGGGCGATTGGCAGGGACAAGAACTCCTGGGAGGATCCCGACACCTTCAAACCGTCGAGGTTCTTGAGAGACGGCGTGCCGGATTTCAAAGGCAGCAACTTCGAGTTCATTCCGTTCGGGTCGGGTCGGAGGTCATGCCCCGGTATGCAACTGGGACTGTACGCGCTTGATTTGGCCGTAGCTCACCTGCTTCATTGTTTCACGTGGGAGTTGCCGGACGGAATGAAACCGACCGAACTCGACATGAATGACGTGTTCGGACTCACCGCGCCGAGGGCGAATCGACTCATGGCGATTCCCAGAAAACGCCTGATTTGTCCCCTGTTTTGAGGCAACGGTAATATTTGTGGAAGAGGCAACGGTAATAACTGAAGACGAAAGAATTCAGATTCTCTTTTGTTGTGGATAAAAATTTCGTTTAAAATTTGTCTACTTATTTTATATCTCTTCTTTTTTTTTTTTCTTTTTATACCATACTGAATAAAGATTCAAGAAAATTGTGAAAAAATACATTGTAATTGTTTGGATTAAGAAAAGAATGGAAAACAATGGTTTGCTGCAATATCGTTGTGCAAATGTCTTTTTCTTATCTATTATCTCTTCCCTTTATTTTATTTGTATTTGGTGGTAAGTTAGAGAGTAGGTAAATAAACAATTTTTGCCTTTTTGAAGATTATCATAAGGGTAAAAGCTAATTTTAGTTTTAGGGGGTGTTTGGTTATAGGTCAAATGAAATAATAAATTGGTTAAAGTCATGACTATTTAACTCTTAGAAAATAATTCATGATTAATGAGTAAATAATGATTTTTAGATATTATTATTTATAATTCAAACATTCTTTTTTTTTTTTTGTTTGTTTGATAAGAGAAAAATAATTATTAATTATTCCCTAACAGTTAATGATTATATATTTTAAATAATGTCTAAATATACTTATAAAAAAATTGTTTCAAGTATTATTTTATATCTCTTTTTTTTATTTTCTTTTCATTCCATACTGAATAAAGATTCAAGAAAATTGTGAAAAAAAATACATTGTAATTGTTTGGATTAAGAAAAGAAGGAAAACAATGGTTTGCTGCAATATCATTGTGCAAATGTCTTTTTCTTATCTATTATCTCTTCCCTTTATTTTATTTGTGTTTGGTGGTGAGTAAGAGAGTAGGTAAATAAACAATCCTTGCCTTTTTGAAGATTGATCATAAGGGTAAAGCTAATATTAAGTGTGTTTGGTTCTAGGTCAAAAGAAATACTTGATTGGTTAACGCCTTATATGGTTTATGGTAATGATTTAGTTATAATATTATATAAAATTGTAAGTTTACAATTATGGTGTGGTATGATATGAACATGATATGATATTAATTATTAAATGAATAGATACATACAATATTATAAATAAATTCTTTAATAAAATGAGTTAATTATATAACAATCTCTCATATTATATATTTACAATACTATGTAATATTATAATTATAGTGTTTTTGTACGGTTTATTTGATAGAAAATAACTCATAATTAATTGATAGACACCTAAAAATTGATAGCCGCCATTAGCTGTAAGGAAATAACACATAATTAATTGACAAATATCTACTAATTGATAGATGTTATTATTTAAGTAATTTAAATACCCTCCCTTATTCATCTTATTAAAGAAAAATAATTATCAACTATTCTCTTACCACTAATAATTATTTCAAACAATGTCTAAGTATGCTTATAATGTTTTAAGCCCTATAAATTTGAGTACTTTCTTATCTTTTCAAAGACTTTCCCAATAAGTGAGCAGTAATGTATGAAAATAAATTCAAAGCTATCAGAGGACCAAAGGAGAGAAGAGAGAGAGTCTGAATTTTGTTTTCCTTCTCGTCACTCAATTTAAAATTTATGGAGGGTTGAAAATTTTGTTGGGATGGTTAATGGAAGGTAATGCATGCACATTGAATAATGGTATTGTTGCGTTGTTTGTCTAATATCCACATATTATGCAGAATGGGAATAAATTAATGATGGGGAATTTAGTTGGTGGAAAGTGGTTACGTGAGGAAGACAGTATTTCTTCCATTCAACGTCAACATATCAAGGTGCTATCTGGTAATTCAAATTAAGAAAAAATTTCAAATTTTGGTGTTCAAAATGGATCTCCGAGAGGATCCTCAACCAACTTGAATTTAAGTTGTAGTTGAGATTAATTGCTTAGAATTTTTTATTGGATCGTAGAGCCTAGGGTTATAAAAACTTTTGAAGCGATAGGTAAGAGTATTTAAAAAATTCTTTTTTTTTTATTTATCATAACATTGTATTTTGATGTCTGAACTTCTTTTATCCATCAGTAAAATCTTAATTATTTCAATAAATTTCTTCTTTCAGTTAATTTTTATTTAGTGTTAACATATAAAATAATATCAATTAAAGTTGTATTTGTGATTATTGTGAAGTATTATAACTATAGTTTTTTTGACGTTCTACCCTAAAAAAATTATGTTAATGTTGGATAATTGTTTTACAAAAGTCTTATATATTGATATAATTATTAGATTATACCAAAAAATTAGTTAAAATTTTAGTTAAAATTAGTTAAAATTTTAGTTAAAATTAATTTAATTATAATAAATTAATATTTTTATGAAATAATATGTGAAAAAGTATTATGAGAAAACAACCCTAAATGCAAGCTAAAGTTTAGTCTAAACAACATATACTAACCTCAAAGTAATCTCTTGATTGCCTCCTCAAGTTCAGGAACTGAAATTTAGTTCTGCAATGACTGATCATTTATCAAACTATATATAACGATCTTGTTTTGTAATGAATCGATCAGCTTCTTTGTTTGCCTAAATGGTATCACAGGCGACCTTAATTCAATCCTTTGAAGTATGTTCTGCTGACACTTGCTCACAACAATGTCCATTGAAAGAAATGTCATTTACTTATGAGTTCACGTATAATAGACAAGCCACAATAAATAATGCTCCTTTGAGAATCTGAGATGGAGCTAAAATGGAAGATAGGAATGATCTTTCTAAGGTCGGTCATTCCATCCCTAACCATTTATTTTAGGGAAAATTATAGATGCTTTCTTGGGGTTGAAAGGAAATGCATTTTATTCGTTGACAAGAATTTGATTGAATTGGTATCTACTAATTTAAAATTTTTAATAACTGGTCAAAATCAACAATTCAGATGTCCATATCATCAAGTAGTTAATTATCTGATATATCACGAAAAATAAAATGAACATGTTTTACGTTTGAAAACACAGAAATGTGCACAAGCATGAGCGAGCACACGTCATATGTGATAAAAAAAAAAAAAAAAAGGTTAATTACAACAAATCAAATAGTAACGCAATGATATTTTGGGGGGAGGGAAAATAATCCAATAAGGAAGTCGTGTTTATTGGTTGCCATGATGATAACATATTCCTAGTAGAATTTGAATCGAAGTTGTGCTACCTGCATAACGTGTTTAAATGAAAATTTGATGGTTGAACCACACCGATCGACTTTCTTTGTACTTGCCGTGAACAAAACAAAAATGCTAAATTAAGTCAATGGAACTCTGTTCGAGAAACCAATGCTAAACAAAATTGAAATAAGATCTACACTTTTGTTTCAATAGATGATGACTCCGTGACAACTTTTCTCGAGGGGACATTGGATAAGGTGAAAGAAAGAACAACATTTTCAAGATGTAGGTGGGAAAAGAAACTCCTAAGCCACGAGTTCCAACTTCCAAGCTCTTAGGTTTGGGTTGGTGCATCATTTGGAAACCGGTACACTCAATTGCAACCTTTTGCATTTAAGCATCTTGCATTTTAATCCAAATCAAATTTCTAAGCCAAATTGAAAGGAAACGTGATTATTGTTGGTAACCAAACAACAAATATAGAGTGCCACGATCAACTCTGATGGACAGACAGGTTCCAGTCCACTACATAAATAAAGTAGACTCTACCATGCCATCCTGCAGGAATGCAAACTTATGATTGAAACAACCCCACGTTCCCCTCTTTCTCACACCTACACAGATTAGCTGCAGCAGCGCTTTCATTGGCATTGACAAGCGAAGGAAAAAACAATGGAGGTCTTTGGTGAAGAAGGGAGCCAAAAGGATTCCAGGTGACGCTTGCTCCTGCTTATTGGTAACTTATCTGCCTTCTTTGTGCATTAAGTACCTATAGTCTATCTTGGTCGCTTTCGGTAAGGGTCCAGAATATCATCAATATTATCTTTTACGTAGTTACCCACCTTACGCATGTTCCTCGCCACTCCTGATGCAACCAAGTTTGCATTCCTTGTAAACCTGCAATTATGTTGGGGAAAATGAAATTCGTCATTGAATTATTAGTCCATTGACCCGTTCATATAGTTGTAACTCAATGGTAAAAATGGTTCACTTAGAAACTAATGTATTTGCTTGCCTGTTCAGGAAGTCGTTTCCTACAGCCTGAGCGGGTTTGTGACTTTGTGGTTGAGGACTTTCACGATCTTAAGAAATAGAAACCAACAAAAAATTGAGACCGTTTAACATGAAAAATAAGAAACAGGAAACTACTTCATTACATTATACTGAACAATGTTTCCAATTTAACCCAGCTGCTGCAGTCTATATCCCTCTAAATAAACAAAAGAATACCATCTGTAATTGAGACCCAGATGCTAATATTTAAATTCTCAGGCTCCCAGTTTACCAAATCTTAGAAAACAATGAAACCCAAAATCATCAAGTACACTACATTTAAGATTCTGCAAGGCATGCTTTGCTCAATAGAAAGAAGGTTCAAAAGCACGTACAAGGTATTAGTGTCAAAGACAAGTAGAAACATAACATGCCATAAGTGTCTGCTGTAAGCACTAGTGTTGTGTATGTTGCATACTAGCAAACTTAAGATTCAAAAAAGCAGCAAGCATGTCTGCGTTATGATTTCCAAAAGCAATGCACCATCCACTGATTTGCCATTCCATTGCTTGCCCATAAAGACAAGGAAATGACTACCAAAAATCGACTTCCAGGGCCCACTGCCTACTCAGATCACAAAACCTCTTTGTCATATCGGTATTTAGTTTTCAGGAATTGCAATTGATTATGTATTTCATCTTGTCTTCACACTTTCTTTTGTCCAATCAGCCACTTGATACAGAACAGGAGTTATGCCATACACTTTCATGATTTAAAGGTAACTTAAAAATTTTATCTCAATCATTTCAAATAATAAATTATATGAACAAACCAGTGGGTAACAACCAGTTTTCCAGCAAAGATACTAGAAAAACCATGTTACCTTCTCTGTTGTGAGCATGAGCAGAAGCAGGTGCAGGGGTGGAAGCTGTGCCAGAACTAGAAGCCCTTTTATCAACTATAAGCTGCAAAAGCACAAACCTTGTGTCAATCAGATCGCATTAGTTTAAGTCACAAGAAAAATATGAAACAATAAGAACATAATATCAAGTTCAGTCAGAGGAAACACATCACAGAGAATTTTTAAATCAAAATAAAGCTGATACAGAACTCCATTTCACCAAAGTATGTGGCCTCAGAAAATTATCATACTAACATTTATTTCGATGCCTATTATATTCATCAACAACCAAAGAACCAAAGTAATTAAGTAAACACTGCCAACCTTTTTCCAAAGCTCATGATTGTGCATGTAGAAATTGAGATAGGAGGAAGAGAAAGGTTAGGAGTCACCTCAAGGCCAACACAAGCCGGAAGATCAATGTTTGCCCCTTGCCTATCACTATCAGCTGAAGCTTCGGTTCTGGTTGTATACACAGAGTAACCAGCACAAGCATAATAAAAATCTACAAGAGCCTTCCCCTCTTTAGAAGTTTCAGTATCCGATCGATCAACAACATGGCTAGGTACTGAAAATTAATCATCACACTTTGAAATACCAGCATGTAGATAATAACAGCAGGAACTAGGAAGCATCTAGAATCTTCCGCAATCAAAATAAATCCCTTTCTATTATCCTAAACAATCATCAACAGCTATCAAAGAGGTTCGGCTTAGAAATTAG